TTTTTTAAAGGCTTTAGCTTAAAATGTTAAGAATAAATATTTCAAACTTGAAATCTGGTTTTATTTTATAATGCATTCAATTTATAAACTTAGTGAAATATTTTCTAAAACAAGAACTTCTAGACTTAAAAACATGCTCATTTAACAGCTAATCCCCCTTTAACAACATTTTTCAAATGCGCAAAACTTTGTTTACATTTCAAAACAATCATGTGAGCTTTAATTCTGTACGTCCCAAGCAAATATGTAATAAATTTTATGAAAACAACTTTTTTAGCAAGACTAATTTTGAAGTATAAAATAAACAAAATTAGGCGGTTTTTTCTTTAGAATGGTACATAAATCTATTATCAGCTGGGTGTTCAAAGATCATTTTCTACTTAAAGAACTTATTAATGGATCAACTTAATAATGAATCAATCAAAGTTTTTATGAGAATAAAACCACATTATCAAACATATTAAATTAGTTATTTGTATATTTAAAGAAACGTTTATTTTTTGTGTAAAAAGATTGATTCAAGCGAGGTTTTTTCAAAAACTTTAACTTTGTTTTGGTCATGAATTATTTTATTAGAGTCTTTATTTATTAACAACCTAACACCATATTATTAAAACTGTATGCATAGAAAAGAATTGCTCAAGTTTTTTAAAGGCTTTAGCTTAAAATGTTAAGAATAAATATTTCAAACTTGAAATCTGGTTTTATTTTATAATGCATTCAATTTATAAACTTAGTGAAATATTTTCTAAAACAAGAACTTCTAGACTTAAAAACATGCTCATTTAACAGCTAATCCCCCTTTAACAACATTTTTCATAATTTTTCAAGAAATGCGGTTTGCTTGCAGAATTTAAAAATAAAGACTGTTTTAGTTTTCCTTTAACAATTAAGTAAGATTTTTTTATTTTATTAATAGTTAAACAATGACTGTATTTAATAATAACTATCAGAAATATATTTTTCTGATTTTTTTTTATAAAAAGTAACAACAATATACTTAAATTTAACCAAGTTCATCATTTGTTGTGCTTTTTATAAACTAAAAGAAGTTTTTTTACTATTATATTAAATGCCATATGATAAAACATTTTATTGTTGTTTTTATTCCTTTTACAAAACAAAATTATCTCTAATATTTCAAAAGTTATAAATGTTTTAGTAACACCTCATAAGTCAAAATTTTCAAAAAAAAAAACAAGAAGCCATAAAGCTCACTCTGAAACAGCCGTGAGTTTACACACTGATGTATATTGTTACTTAGGTAAATATTTACTTATCTTTCTTTGTATATTTATATGAGGTCGCCACTCACAATCATAAATAGGGTTATGAGTGAAAAAAGTTTAAGAAGTCCTTATCTATTCTATTCAAAATTTCATTTCTAATCTAAATACAAAAAAAGAAAGAAAATACTAGCCTACAGTTATTTATGATTTAAATAGAAAAATTATTTGGAAAAAAAAATTAATTATGTCAATATCTTTTACCCACATTCAAAAAGTTTGAGTTATCCAAAGAAATTTGCTGAAAGGGAACAAAAAAGTTGTTTGACTTATCTGAGGTTCGACTTAATCAGATAATTTAAATAGAAATTGATTAAATCAATTTAAATTTAAAATTAAAAAATTTTGAAGTTTAAGTGCGCAAAATAAATTAGGACAGTGGTAATCTTAATACACACACATATATATACATATATATGTGTGTGTATTAAGATTACCACTGTCCTAATTTATTTTGCGCACTTAAACTTCAAAATTTCTGACTTGAATTTTATATATATATATATATATATATATATATATATATATATATATATATATATATATATATATATATATATATATATATATACTTATATATATATATATATACATATATATACATATATTTATACTTATATATATATATATATGTATGTATATATATATATATATATATATATATATATATGAATTAAATTATTAATTGCAATTAATCAGCAAAACCGAGGCATTAATAAAAGAATGAGGTGGAAAGCGTTTTTCTTTATTAATGATGATCAGAATTAATAATATTTTCAAAATAACTATCAGCTTCTTCATTTGGAAAAAAATTACTTTTGTACTTTGGATCTAAAAATATGGCCAAAATGAAATTTTTTTTATTGAGATATTTTTCAAATCTTTCATTTGCTTATTTTTAACATCCTTTTAAAGTTGTCCCTAATCCTAAAAGCAAAAGAGACTTTTCAGCTTGAGCCAGCATGGTTTTTATAACTTGTACAGTTGAAATTATAGCAGAAGCAATTGCTTCATTCTCACTTAATTTGTTATATCATTAATTTGTTATATCAACTTAATTTTTTATATCAACTTAATTTGTTATATCATTTTTGAAAGTCGTAGTAATTTTTGAAAGTCGTAGTAATTTTTCTAAAATAATCCATTCATTATTTTCCAGTGACTTTAGTTTAGAGTTGTCATTATCACAACGAAATGGGATCAAAGCACGATTC